AATTTTTTTTTTCCGAAAAAAAAAAAAAAATTTAAATTACGCAGGTTTTTTGTGTTGCCAAAAAAAAAAAAAATGGGGAAAGGGGGAAAAAAGGGCAAAAAGGGCAAAAAAAAGGCTAAAAAGGCAAAAATGTTAGTTTGTAAGCGTCTTAATGCCCCAAAAAAAAAAATTTTCGATTTTTGAAAATGTATAAAAAAAAAAAAAAATGTCGGGAATACGGTTGACAAAATCTAAATTCTAAATTATTGCCAATAATAAATTATAATATAAAATAATAATATATTTATGATGTTGACGTCATCACACGTTTATATATGTACAATTATAATAAAAGGTTGTTTTTTTTCTCTTTTCTTTTCACGTATATACAAACAAAGAAACAAACAAACAAACAAACGAGAGAAAATTTAAATATGTGAGGAGTTAATCGGATTCGTTAAACATTTACAAACATGATTTCACTTTGTTTGTTTGTTTGCGTTATGATATTATTAATAACATTAATATTAATAATATATTTATTAATTAATAATAAAGATTCACGAGTTTCGATAATAATAATAATAATAATAATAATAATAATAAATATATATATACTTTTTTGTTTAAAAAAAATAGAATAAAAAAAAATTTTAAACGCTTTTTATTAATAATTTTTATTTATTATTATTATTATCATTATTAAAATACTTTATTTGAAATTTAATGCTGCGAAACGTTATTTTGTTGTTGTTGTTGTTGTTTTTTGTTGTAATTAAAAAATTATTATTATTATTATTATTATTATTCTTTGAAATGTCATATTTGTCCTTTTTTTTTGTGAAAAAAGGGGAAAATTTTTTTTTCCTTTTTTCCTTTTTTTTGTTTTTATTTTTTTTTAAATTTTTTACTTTATTCTCGTTTATTCAAAGGAAGAATTTTTATAAAAGGAAAAAAAGCAAAAAAAGGAAAAAAAGGAAAAATGGGGACAAAATGAGTAGAAAAATGGGAAAATAATTTTTATGGCTATTTAAAAACTTTTCTTCTTTTTTTTTTCCTTCCTTTTTTTTCTTTTTCCTTTTTCTTAGGAGTAGCATGATGTTTAATTGCGAATAAATAAAAAGGAAAAAGTTTAAAATAAGTTTAATTTTCTTTTTTCTTTTTTTTTTTTTTTGTTTAAAAAACTTTTCCTTTTTTTTTTTTAAATCGAAAAAAAAAAAAAAATTTTTTTTTTACGAATTTTTGGCACGAAATATATATGTATTCTCATCCGCGCGCAATATTTTGGAGAAGAAAACAAACATTTTACCGAGGGAGGAGAGGGAGGAAAGTGGAGAAAGAGGAAAGGGGAAAGGGAAGGAGGAAAAAGAAGAAAATGAAGGAAGAAGAAAC